GCCCCCACAGCCACCGCAGCCACCGCAGCCCCCAGCAGTGCCAAGCCAACGCCAGAGACGTCCGGTAATCGCTCCCCTCCCGTGATTCCCAGTAGCATTTGTATTAACCATCAGATTTATTAAGTGCACAGGTACAGATTGGCCTGAGAAACCGCTCGCTGGTACATGAGTTGTGATCTCAAAGAAGAGCCTGGTGGTCAAAAGCTTTAATCCTGCCCAAAAAAATCCCACCTGGGGCAGCCTGACGCCGCTGGCTTCAGGACGAGCGGCTTAGACCCATCCTTTGCCAACCAGCCAAGAGCTGATGGGACAAAATGCTCATTAATCTTTTATCTTGACATACCTATTCTTTGCTCAGCACCTGTAAGAGGTCTGCCAGCCTTTCCAATAAGAGGCCAAGGCTCTGAAAGGCTTTGAAGCAGGGACCCGTGCACAGACGTACGGTGCCATCCTCTTACGCTGTTTGAAATCAGTAAATCTTTTTGAAGGCTCTGGGTCAAGGGGGAGACAAGGGCAATGCAGGGGAGGTTGGGCAATGGCATCCTTGCTGTGGTGCAGCGTATGCCCAGGAAATTAGTCCATTGTAAACAGATTATAAAGTGCATGTAACAATTAGGTAACTGAAGCAAGTCTAATGCACATTTCTTATACAGCCAATAACACGTTCTGGTACCGCTGGCTATGACAAATCAATATTGTACTTCAGTCATCGCAATGCCACGCATTGATTTTAGAGGACTTAAGCTTTTTCATGTATCCTTTTCACTGCATTTCTTCAAAACCAAAGCTGCAGCCGGGTCCCTGGCAACCAACCGCATGTCCCTGGAGGTCAGCAACAAGCAGAAGAGCCCACAGCCCAGCCAAGCCCCCACACAGCCACCGGTCACCCCCTTGGACCCAGACCACGCGAGCCGAGAGGCCTCCACAGCCAAGAGCCCGGTGACACAACCCAGAACGGCACCAGAAGCCCCAGAGTCCACGCCGGCTGTGATCCGGAGCTCTCCTGCTACCCCAGAGCATCCTTCCATCTCGACTGCCACCACGCCGCTGCACACAGGCAGGGACAGCCCGAAGGTGAGGATGCAGCTGGGCACCGCGGGTTGTGGGACCTCGAGGAGACTGGACTTGTCTCACAACCTCGCGACGGTTCACCGATACCACCACTGTGGGTTTTTTTTTTCCCTTCCAGCTCATCACATGCCACAATGTCAAAGAATTGAGTGACACTGGAGCCATCTGCTTGCAGCTCAACGAGTCCAGCACTTGCGTGAGTTGCAGCCCCGGGTGGCCACGTGTCTCCAAGGGGGGGAGGACGGGACATGCGGGGGAGGGGGGGGCTGCAAGCAAACAGCTGAGGGCAGGTTCCTGCAGCGCTCTCAGGCTTGCAGCGATGGGGTCACCCACCGTACCTGGGGGGTCGGTTTGGGGTGGGAGCTCACACCGTTACCCCTGGGGCACAGCATCTGAGCTGTGCCAAACTGACGGAGGTGGGAATGATCGCAGCAGTCCCAGGGGAAATGCCACCTCCTGGTTGCATAAAACCTCCTTTTCCATGATTAAGCTCTGTGCAGCGCTCTCAGGCTTGCAGCGATGGGGTCACCCACCGTACCTGGGGGGTCGGTTTGGGGTGGGAGCTCACACCGTTACCCCTGGGGCACAGCATCTGAGCTGTGCCAAACTGACGGAGGTGGGAATGATCGCAGCAGTCCCAGGGGAAATGCCACCTCCTGGTTGCATAAAACCTCCTTTTCCATGATTAAGCTCTGGGGTCAGTTTAGCTTCTAAAGTATCTCCCACCATGTTTAACGGGAAATTGCCTTTGTTCTTCTTCTTCCTCTTCCCTGTTGGGAAGGCGATTGCCTTTTTTTGTCTTGCCAACTGCCCTAGGAAAGAAAACAGGGCACCTGAAGAAGCACAGCTAGCAGCTCAGTGTCCCCATCTGCACCGACTCCTAAGGGAATCCCAGGCTCTCTGTAACTGCCCTCGGCCTCGTGCGCCAAAAGTGAAGCATTTGTAAAAACAGAAGAGGGTCCAGCTGAGACGCTATTGCGGGTGGGAGGAAAGAAACCTTTCATGCAGGAGGTACAACCTGCAACAGAGGGCAGGTGGTGCTGGATCTTGTGGGACAGCGGGTTTGGCAATGCCCTGGGTATAACATGACAATGATTAATTTTACCTCTGCTGGCCAGCCGTGCTGCCACCACTTAGGATGAGTGAATTCTTAACTTGGCTTTTCTCTGCAAAGTGGCGATGAAATGGCATTTAGACTTGCTCCTCTTCACAGGGACTGCACCGATGCCATCTAGTGGGCAACGGCACGTCCTGGGCACAGGGACTGTACGCGTCGTGCGTGCATTACATACCTGCACATACATAAGCGGCTGCGTATATAACGTACAAAATATCCTACAGAGTCGTATCTATTTGCACAAACTCTTAAGCCTCCCTCCGTGTGAAAGGAGTCAAACTGCCCCACTTCTAACCGTGTTTTTCTGGGAGTTCTCACCCCACCAGCCTCCTCCCCAAGTAATCATCGAGTGGGAAAAACCAGCTCAGGCTCAGCAGCCGCTGAACCTGGGAACCAGATAAGAGCGTCTGCGAGGAGAGCAGATAGGAGGGACCGTGCCGTGTCTCGCTTTCCTGCTGGCCTTTCCCAAAGCAAATGAGCAATACGCTGGCACCCAGCGCTGCTAATTGCAAAGGGAAATTCTGACACTCCGATGAGTTCTTTCCACAGCAGAGAAAGGAAAATACACACTTGGGTCTCTTGTTCCATCTTGGCCTTTCTCACCCCAAGCCAAGCTCTACAGAAACAGCTGAAAATGATTTGTTTGTTATTCTCCCATGGATAAGTTTCTGCATTTTTGTATGTTAAGAGGATGTGGCGGTCCGAGCACAATACTGAGGCAATTCTAAGGCAAGGAGGGGAAGGCACCGAGCTGCCTGGCTCTGCACGATGCTCCAGGGCAAGAGGGTTTTCTCCTCTTTCGCAGCCCCACGTTGGCGGGTACCTCCCCAGGAGCGAGTGGAGGGTAGGGGCAGGACACGGGATTCAGCTGGAGCCGGTCTCTGTCTCGAGAGGTCAGGCACTGCCACAGCTCGGATGATGTCCCCAGCTGGGAGGATGTTAGGGAAGCTGATGATAACGGCTTTTAGCAACTGTGGGCTCTGTCTCCAAGCCTGGCTGCGGCTGAAAATAGACTCGAGGAGAAAGCCTATCCTGTTTGATACAGAAACTGGCCCGCAGAAGGGAAAGGCTGCGGCTCCTCACTCCTCTTCCTCTTCCACCCAAGAGTCGGTTCAGCTCTAAAATGTGAGAAATTTGTATTTTTTTACCTAGCCTTTGATCAGCAACCTAGCAAAAACATTGAAGACATTTCCTAAACAGGAAGGCTCAATGCTTCTTTGTTATTTCCCTGCTTTCCCAGCCCCTGCCTGGGACTCTGAAACAATAGGGCTCTTCAGGCAGCTGTTTCAGTCCAAAAATTGGAGGGACTTGCCATGCAATTCAGATCCTAAATTTAGCTTTGTTTAAATGCCATTTGCAAGAATTGCTAAAAATATCTTCATTTAATTTAATCTCATTAAGTTAAGAGACAAGAAGTAAGCATCTCCATTTTCTAGGTGTTGGTACTGGGGCCCAAAGCAGTGGTGAGACGGGAGGTGAAGGGCTGACACCCAGCCCAGCGCTGTTTGTCACTTCTTGTTGCTTCTGCTCAGCTTTGCACAGCACAGAGAAGCCACCAAAACAACAAGGGTGAATGCACGACACTTCCAGTAGCATCATCAGCATAGCTGAGATGGAAAATTAGTTGGTTTGGTTGGTTCAATGGCTGTTTGTTTGAAAATTTTGCAGAAACATTTTTTAGAGGAGCAGGGATCGGACTTATGGAGTGCAATATGTGAAACGAAGAACCACCGCATTCCCTCCCCCTGCCAGATTAAACTCGCTAAATCGGAGGTGGACCGTGACTGTATGCTCCTCATCCTCGTCGGTGAGAGAGGTCAGTTGAGCTAATTCCTTTCTCTGCCATTGATACCGCTGGATAATGACCTGGATGTGGGCAACGGGAGAGGGGACCGTTCGTGGGGAGAGGCTGTGGGACACAAATCCTCAGTTACAGCCTGGGAGGAGACTTCTTTCTGGGGTCTTGCTAGCTCCAAGGAGCCATGGCGTTGCCTCCAGAGCAGCAAAGGGGCTCACGGCTCCTGTGTCTTCAGCAACGGCCAGACTCTTCAATGCTGGCGTTAGCTGCAGCATGACCCTCTAAGTAATGTGCCTCTCCTGTTTTAAACCTTGCAGATCCTGCTACAGATATACTCCAGGAGTCTCACTGGGCAAAGGTAAATTCCTTGAGCAAATTCAGCTGGAAAAAAATGAGTGGCCTGACTGGCTGGAGAAAGGAGATTTTTAGATGGTCAGTTGAGGCTGGGGCAGACGGCTGAGACCTGAACCTGCCTCCGTCTTGGAGGCATGTGTTGAGTGTTGGCATGTGAGATGGTTGGAGCCAACCACCAGACAGGCAGCGAGGCAGCGGTGCACCGTAAGAGCACTAATAGAACCACTGAAGGCAGAAACGCTTGAAATATAGTTACTGTAAAATTTGGTAGTATTTTCTTTAAAAAGGACTAGATTCCCAACAATAACTCTTAGGATGTAATTGGCACTCTGCTTCTTCAAGGTACCACGCTAACATTAATTAATTCCTCCTCTTAACACTCCAGTGAAGCTGCCATCAGCTTGTAAAGTTGAGCACCAGGTGCCTCTACAAATGGCAGCCAACAGAGCTGCAACAGCAGCGCGCAGAGATATTTCAGATGCACGCTCCAAGTCTCGGGGCCCGAGCACTCTTGTCCAAGGGAGGAAATTTCGCTGTGCCACAGAAGAGACTAGGATGGAAATGGGACCGTGAGGAAGCGAGAGCTCACAGGGCAAGTGCAAAGCTCAGGAGCTTGGGTAGCAAAGCTCAGCTTTGTTTACGCGAAGTTTAACAAGGAGGTGAAGAGCAGCATTGTTTTAAGCCTGGTGCCTGTTCAGCAGATGCATATGTTTCCTGTTTGTCAGACTCCCGGTTCTCTTTGGTGTTTTTTTTTTCCAGTTTGGAATAAAATCCCTTAAACAGGGGAGCGTGAAGAACCACCAGGACTTTTCTCAGAAGACCCTGATCGCCTTGGTCACATGTGGACTCATGCTGGCGTTCCTGGGCTTGGCTGGATATTTCCTGATGAAGCGGCGGAGCTGGAGCCCCGCGGGAGAAAGGCTGGTCAGTGCTTATAGATGGCAGAACAGCAGGTAGAGAGGAGCCCGGCGGCGCAGGCACTGCCGGAGCGGTGTAGGAGCGGCGGGGGGGGAATGCCTGATGGGACACGGAGGGCGCTGCTCCGCACCCTGCGGCTCGGTACCCTCAGCCTGTGTGTGTGTGTCCCCCCAGGTCGACGGGACGGCTCGGCCGGCGCGCGGGGAGTTGTGACCCGGGGCTGGGTCAGCCTGGGCGAGGCGAAGGGCAGGAGCAGGGAGGCCAGACCGTACAGGGTGAAGGGAAACCTCTCTTGCCTTCTAAAATTAACTCCTAGCTGATTGCTCCTGTGGGAAAACTGCCCCTTTCTCACTCGTACTTCTAGGTCTAACACTTATTTTTGCTCAGCAGTAAGAACTCATCCAGCAAGACCCCTTCAGAGACACCGAAACCTTATGACTTTGTCATTAAAAGTGACACACTTTAAGTTTCCATTCGCTGCGTTCGAGTTATATGTCTGTCTTGTACCAATGCTGTAATAAAGGCTATTTCTCCCCTCACTTAACAAGCGATGGTAATAAAATATATCAAGAAAGAAAGAGAAATCCAGTTCCTAGGGGTGATGTGTCCAGCACACCCATCTCGCAGCCACGGACGAGGGTGTCAGCAAAGGGGTCGAGCGAAATGACGGGGCGGGCGGGAAGCTCAGCAGCCTGTGTCCGTGCGGGATGCCGCTGAGCAACCAAGGAGCGGGGCTATCGCCACCCGCAGCCGGGACCACCAACACCCACTGCAGTGCTATATCGGACCTGCCACGGTCTGACACATGGGGAGTTATCGTGGTGGGGGACGGAGGCAGCTCTGCTATTGCTCTGGGTCCTCCAGAGGCATTTGTTCGTTAGAGCAGCACTGGTAACAAGCCCAGCAGCATGTCTTTGCATTTGCTGGAGTGCAGTGCTGCACATCTGCTAGCACCTTGCTGCGAGCTGCACATCTATTTACAGGCTGAAAGGAGGAAGGTCAGGGAAAGGAAAAGAAGCAATTTCCATAGCTTTCGTTCAATGGTGCTTCTTACTTGGCCAAAGGGGAAAGGTGGACTGGCACAGGGTAGCTTTTCAAACCCAAGGCAGGGTCAGCTCTAAAATTGCTTATGAGAAAACAACAAAACCTGATGGCTTCTCTTTTCAGGTCCAGGAGAAACAAATGCAGTCCTTGGCTGGTTTTCTTGTTTGATCTTGCCACAGCGTGGTTCAGGCCCTCTGCTGCCCTTCTCATCAGGGAGAGCAGGTTCCCATGCCTGCAGTTGTTTGTACCTCCTGTCCAGGAAGCGCAGGCAGCCAGCCAAGCCGCTGCCCGCAATCAAAGCCGGTTGCTGTCAGCCCTTTCCCTTCCTTAACTCTGCCTTTGTTATTTATGTACCTGTTTAGGCTGAAGACCCATATTACACGGAAAATGGTAGCCAGGGAAACACGATGTTGATGATGCCCCCCCAAGAGCAACCTGAGCTGCAGGAGAAGCCAAACCTCAACGGAGGGACTCAGGAGAACGGCACTGGCCAAGCGTCTTCCAAAAACGGCCACTCAGCCAGGCAGCACAGCCCTGCCGACACCGAGATGTGACCCGGGAGAAGTGCATCCTTAGCGCGAACTGAGAGGGGAGCAGAGACACAAGGGAGGGCAAGAGTTTTCTATGGACAGTTAGGAATTGCAGACCTTTTGGGTTTTTTTTTTTTTTTTATTACAATTATTTCTGTGAAGAACTTCAAAAACGGCCTAAAGCACATTAAGCGCCAGAGCTGCCAAAGACCTGCTTCTCTGCCTCCTCCTCCTCCTGCTCCCATTGACCACACAAGACACTTTCGCAGCTGTTCTCTGCTTTTGTTGTTGGAAGAACATAACGAGAAATGCAAGTGCCCTTAGCCCTGAGCAGCTTTTAAGCAGAGGCAGACTGAAGCTACAGAAGCCTTGAGCCAGACTCCAAACAACCAAAATTTTTGGGGGCAGTGTGTTAGGTTGATTAAAATAGTTAAATTGGGATTTCAGTGACAAAAGCCTCTCAGGTTTCAGATAATTTTGGTTAACAGAGGTTTTTTTCTTATCTCATCTTTACGTTTAATTGCAGCATTTCTTCCTCTTTTAAGAACATCAGGCATTTAATCCCCCTTCTTGTGCTTTAGGTCTTCTTTAGTTATTTCCTACTCCAGCAGAATTTGCTGAAGCGCCGTGTAAAACTTTCCACATGGAATTGAAGGCTGAAATGTGAATAGACCTCAAACTTGTTTCTTTTTCAATCCTACCAGTACGCACGTAGTTGTTTTAGAGTAAAAAAATCTTCCCCGGTCTCTTCATGTCAGGGACTGGAGATGGCGTTTGACGAGGCAGAGGCAGCAAAAAAAAAAAATCACTTGCGTGAGACGGAGAACATTTGATACGGCTGTAGACGGCTCTGCGGACGCCGGAGGCTGGCAGTCCCATCGCCCTCCCTCCCGACACGTGCGGGTAGCGCCTAGGGTAGGATTTTGGGAATAAAAGATGCCAAAGGGCTCCCGGTGGGATGAGTGCTAGACAGAAACCTGGCTCTGCTATGGGTGTTTCTCCCTCTGCATCAGCAGTGGGTGCATGAACAAAAAGAAGTCTTTTCCCTTTGGTAAGTGAAGGCCAACACCAAAATCCTAACAGGAGGAGCAGGTCCTACCTAGCACTGCGCTGATCCTGCTCCCGAGGCAAGCGGTGCTGCAAGCCGCATCACTGAGGTTGCGCTACGTGCAGCTCGGTGAGAGGCAGGGACCAGGGGCAGGGCTGTGCTCAGTCCCGAGCAAGCGCAGCTCCTCCCCAGGGAGCCAAAGCTGCTGTCGTGCAAACCCGGCGTCGACGGTGCAAGACCACGAGAGGCTGCAGTTCCGCAGACTTTACTCACGCCACAATCTCTGCTGGCACCACCAGCAACCTCCACACCTGAAATAAGGACAAAAAATGGCCCTTAAAGCTGATCTGCCATCTCAGTAGTGAATTTATCGCAACCTTTTCTCAGAGGTGACCACCGGAGGGGAAGGCTTTTTTTTTTTTGGTACAGTGCTTAAAGGAGTGACATTGGAACATAAAAGAATAAAGCACTGGAACAAGCTGCCCATGGAGGTGGCGGAGTCCCCATCCCTGGAGGTATTTAAAAGCGTAGATGTGGCACTTAGGGACATGGTTTAGTGGTGGACTTGGCAGTGCTGGGTTAATGGTTGGACTGGATGATCGTAAAGGTCTTTTCCAACCTAAACAATTCTATAATTCTATGACAGCAAGATCCATCATTAGCCGGGGCTGTTTGCATGGGTGCACGAGTCATTTAAACACAGTTTAAAATATTTCAGGTTTTCTTTGTTTTGGTGTGAATTGCTTCTACCAAATCTCATTGTAAATAATCCCACTTGAAAAAAAAAAAAAAAAAGAGTATTAAAATTCAGCTTCTCCATTGTGTCCTTGGAACAGCAGCGTGTTTATCCCACCGGGACGCGTGGCTCTGGCTGCACCATGTGCCAGCACGATGAGAGGACAACGCCTCGCAGAGAGGTTGTTTCCCAGCAGAAACACTATGACTAAAAGCTGTGGCTTGTTCTGTTGTTCTGCGCACATTTTCCCTTTCTTTCAACAGAAACGTTTGCAGGACAAGTGACGTACAGCACGCTCTTAAACCTCGTTTGTTTGATTTTCTGATGTTTTAAGATGCTCAACTATTTCCTCGATAAATAAGTGAGACTCCAGTATCGTGGAGTGATCTGTAGGGCTGGGGTCTGTGCACGCGTGTGTGCGTGCATGTGTGTGTGTGTGTGTGCGCATGAAGATGAAGATGAAGATGAAGGCTTCCTCACTCTATGCACTGTGCAATAACCAGCAACAGTTCCCGCCTCAAAGAATTTGCAGGGCGATGCACGGCAGTCCTTCAGCGCCTGTTCTTGCAGAGATGCTCGAGCTCCGCTGAACGCAGGAGGTTCGGGGCTGGGTATCTTTACTGACCAGGCTCCCTCCTCTCGGGGATGCCCGACCCTTCCTCGTGCTTGTTTCCCGGGCACGGGCTCACGGACAGAGGCACGCCAGGTACTTCTTGGCGGGTGCTGAATACAGCCAGAAACCACCGCTGCCGGTTTTGTTGCAGTTCGGGGTGCTCTGACCTCCACAGCCTGGCTGCAAGGGGAACAGATGCGGGAAGGTGGAATTACTCTCTCTCCCGAGAGCCCCGGCTGCGGTGCAGCGCAGGGGAAGCTCTCCCGGGGGCTTGATTTGCACTGCGGGGTGGGATAGGGAGCTGGGGTTGGCTTCTTGTGTTTTGGCAATTGTTTATCTAATCAGCACTACTCGCTGTATCAAAAGTCGGAGATCTAATCAAACGTCAGGTGCATTTTTCACAGCTCAGAGTATGTCCTACAGCCAAGCAGAGACAATGAAGTTACGATTGCTTTGGCAAAACAAAAGCTTTCTCTAAAACATCCAGATTGAGGGAAATGCCGAGAGCGGCGGTGGCCGAGCAGGGATGGTGCCGAGCGAGCGGAAAAGGCTGCGCTTCCAGCTCAGGAAGTTTTTTGCCTGTGTGTAAACACAGTCAGGCTCAGCTCTGGCCCAGCCGAACAGGTTATTGTTATTATTCCTTCCTTATCAAACCTCTTGCATTCCTTCCTTGCCAGCCCCTCCGTCTGCTGGGCAGCCTCCTCCTCTCGCCATCCCGTGCTGCTTTTGGGCCACTTTTGGGGGCTTTTGGGGGGGCTACATCCACCTCAGCTTCCAACAGCGACCTGCTTTCCCATAAACATGGTTCAAGGTTGATGCGAGGGCTCTTGCCTGGTTCATGCTCTCATGTCCTGCTCATGTCCTGTTTAGCTGGTGGGGACCCTTATATCGCCGTGAAATGCCTTGATGAAAATCATCGGCATGAAAATATCCTCTGGGGAAGAATGGTGGCAAATACACATACAAGGTGTTAAATATAAATGTAAATGTGACACAGCAGTTAGTTACATGACCTGTCCATGTCCCAGCCTGGAACAGAAGCAGGAGCTCTGACACCCATCCAGGCAGCCCCTGAATCCTTCTGCAGGTTGAAATCAAAGCCTTTTTCAGAAATTAAGAATACCTTCCCATCTGAACTGCCGTAAAACACCACTGTGAGTTGAAGGTGGCTTGCTCTGTGTATTGCTGAAACCAATCAAATTTATCAGAGCAAACAAGTTTTAATTAAGTCTTATTAACTATGTCCCACAGTGGATATTCCATCCCTTTCATAATAAAAACAGCACAACCCTCCCAGCTAAGAAAACTCCTGCCCTTCAATATCACAGGCCCTTCACAGCAAAACAGCACATCCCAGGTCAGAGAAAAGTGGCTGCTTTCTCTGTTTGCTGGTTGTTCTTTTTTTTTTTTTCCCTTGATCGAGCGCTGGGATGAGCTGCCCAATGCCTGAGAGCCCTCAGCAGCTGGATCAGTCTTGCACAAGCAGCAACATGCCCAAGTCCTGCTCATGGCCCTTTGAAGACACTAGTGTTTTGCCTTGTGCTGTGCCTTGGAGGCCCCCAGAGGAAAGATCAGCTCTCCTGGTGCTCTCCATGCTGCACATCTGCCGGGACAGATTTACTTGAGCAGCGTGCTAAAATTTCAGTTTAAGGCTAGATGCCTCGCACGCCTTGTGAAATTTTTACCCCCTATGAAACTTTGTTCAAATGCAATTTAGCTCAGCGTTTACAGAACTACTACTTCTCTTTAAATACAACAGGTACGTGTTATTACCAGCTGAGCGGGAGCTCGGTGCCTGACGTACCCACCGCCCCACTGCGCAGAAATGGAGGGGGCGTCGTGACCTCAGACTTAAATTCATCAAAGGAAACCTTAAATTCATCAAGGGCTCACTTTGAAACCGCAGCAGAAATAGTCTAGGGTACGTTCTATATAACAATGCTGCTATCTGCTGGCTGTGCTTTGCTAAAACAGTTAATACTTTGCTCTGGAGGGGAGCTGGTACTTGGGTGACGGGTCCCAGTCAGAAGCAGCACCTGAAGAAGAGTCCTGCTCCACCACCATCCCCTGCTGCACCCCGGGGTGCCGCCAATACGGCCAAGAGGCTAACACATCCACGTTATGAAATTATGAAAGAAGTAATACGTACAGCAGGCTTTGTAGCTCATATTCTAGGAATGGGGAACATCTAAAATGAAATTTCTAAAATGAATTTCCCATCAATCCACTTCCCATCTGCTTGTTCGATGCCCGATCCTGCAAAACTCGTGTGGGAGTTCTACAATATTTGCTGCACCATCTGCTGCCAGGCCGCGCAGGCTTTTTGATCCAAGCACAGGGAACGCAGACACACGGGCGGGCTTTGGTAACGTCCCGTGTTACACCTCAGGTGGCTGATGGAGAAGAAGCTGGCGAAGCAGCGTCGGTGGAGCCAGGGCACATCCCTGCGACCGGAGCCCGGGACCTGGCAGTGCCCTCGGCTTCCTCCAGCCAGTCCCACTGAATTCGTGTGTTGTACCAGCCTTGAGTCAGCCGAAAGCTCAGTCATCATCAGATGGCCGTAAGGACATCTCCCAGCGTTGGGAAAGGGTGATGTTCAGGCTCGTTTCCTCTTCTCTCCTTTTCCA